AAGAAACTGTCAAAAAAGTTCATTTTTATAAAACAATATATTTGGTCAGTATAATTTATAAACTACGTCCACTGTAAATATCAGCGCCAAATTCACGCTAGAAGTACCTCAAATAAACTATTTAGCTTGCCGAGGCAGCACCTGAGTAGCGCAGTAATCGTCAAAAATGCGCAAACTTAGCGCTCACGCAGCTTCTCCGCCACTCAACCGAGCGCCGCCATCTTGGCCACATTTTGTTCATGATTTCTTGCTCTTTTCTTTCCCGCCATCAGCGCGACAACAATGGCGTGGTTGAGGCGTAACTGGCTTGCAATGGGGTAGCTTGCGGGGTACTCGAGTTTCCCGCATTTCAAACGTGGAGCTACAATTGGACGAATCGTGCAATAGTTTGGGGTGAGGGAAACGTGTGGTTGCTATTGGATGGTGCGCGCACTCACATGCTCATCTCCTGCGCATGGTGCAGCCGACGCCCGCGCGACTCGTCTGCTCTGATTCCATCATAGCAAACATTCTCTGTGTGCTTCTTCGTCTTCTGCGATCAGCTGTGGCATTGTCGTGCAAACAGTCTTTACGAGACGATAGTTCCATGCAGCCCTTTGATCGTCGAGTTTTCCTTTGTCTTCTGCTCGAATAGTCGTAAGTGGCCGTACGTACGACTGATGCAGCTCTTTGTGCCGAGGAGGCTCTTCGGAAGTTTTAGATGTGGTTTGTGGTGATGGGTCACACGTTTCACTGGAAACCCGCAGCTGCGCTCGCTTTTGGAAAACGAAAGCGCCGACTGCCTATTCTACGGCATATGCGGAAACCCCCAGCAAGTCCGCAGTCATTCAGCGATAACAAAGTCACCCTGGATCCTCGGCCCTCAACAAGCTATCGCAACCCAGCGCACAATGCAGAGGTGGCGCGACGCAAGTGCGTGTCCGAGTCATCAACAGAAGGCATGCTTATCAATATTATTACGCACCGTGTGTCTGCACGCTCGCTTAACCGGGATTGGGCTGTTCAGCTTGTCAGTGAAACAATCGATGCGTAAGTGACAGGCACGTTGGCAGAAGGCATCAATGAACGGAGTGGTAACGAGACTTTGCTCGATGAGAGTCATATGATTCAAGGGCATATTCAACCAAGCTTTCTGTCGGTGGAAACAGCAGAGGCGCAGTCGAAAACAGTTCGCGAGTCGCTTGGTGCGATGTCGGCAACTGAGTGGAAATTCGCACTGACCGCATCTCAGGAATGTGAAACGATGTCTGCTGCCAGAAGAAGAATACGTGCTTTTTCAGATGGCCGCTCTTGAACGTGATGATTGGGAAAACACTCTGCCCAATTTGCCGTGAGCAAGACCTGGCTGTGTACCAGGACACAAAGCTTGGACTAGTCATGAAAATGGTGCTATTATGTCATTCTTGCGGCACAGCCAGCTCTCAGGTGGTCGTCAAAGAGAAAAGAAGGTGCGAGAGTCTTTGATGTAAATGTTAGATCAGTGTATGCAATCACGAGCATTGCGAAAGGACGACCTGCTATAAATTACTTCTGGGCAGTGATGAATGTGTTGCACAAAGGACTGCATCAGAAGACTTATCAGCACTACCTGAAAAATGTGATAAAGCCAGCTGTCGAAGTGGCTACCCAAACTGTTTTGACGGATGCTGCACAGGCTGTCAAGAATACATATGAAGAAATAGAAGCTAACTTCATGAAAAACATTGCAGTGGTGTACGTTGGCACATGGCTAACTCGTGGACATAGCTCGCACATTGGTGTAGGCTGTGTAATTGAATTTTACACGGATCTGGTGATTGACTGCACAGTGTTGTCAATTTTCAGCCTTGGCTGTATGCTAGGGCCACCAGAAAGCCACCCTACATACGAAGAATGGAGGAAGGCACACAAGTGCAAAAAAAAAAAAAAACACCGATGTAGGCGCAGAGTTCATGGAAGTTGAAAACTGCACTGCAGCTTTTTGGACGCTCCATCAGCAAGATTGACCTTAGGTACACAAATGCAATTTGGGATAGAGACAGTTGCATCTACGCAGCCCTATACAATGATCAGACATATGGATTCATACCTTGTCACAAAGGAGGACTGTGTGAACCATGTGCAGAAAAGGATGGGCACTGCGCTCCGCTCTCTTCTGAGCAAAGCAAAAAAGGGAGAGGCGCTTGGAGGAAGAGGCGGCCTTACGCAAGATCTTATTAAGAGGCTCACCAGCTATTATGGCCTAGTCCTGCGAAGCAACACAGATGTGCAAGATATGCAAAGGGTGGTGATGGCAACACTCCACCACACTTCATTCACTGATGCCGCGCCCCATCATCAGTTGTGTCCTCCTGGTGCCCTCAGCTGGTGCAGGCACCCTTCAGTAGAAGCAGAAGGAAAGTCACCACTTCCACATAAGTACAACCTTCCCAGCAAGGTTATAGAAGCACTGCGACCCGTCTGTCAACGCCTTTCCGACCCTCCACTGCTGGCTCGATGTAGCGGCAACAAGACTCAAAATGCTGCTTAGAGCCTCCACGCGGTGATTTATACACTGATACCCAAGCAGCGGCGTCCCTCCCTCTTCAATGTGGAATCGGCAGTGCATGAAGCAGTAGCAAAGTATGATGCAGGCAGCTTGCGAGCTTACTCCGAGATTTGCACTGCACTAGGTGTAAAACCTGGAGCGTTGCCCTCCAGAGGGTTGCAAGATAGGATAGCCAGCATGCTAGAAAATCGTCAAACATGCACCAGATGAAGAAGCAGAGGCCACCGGCAGGCATGGACACCAAAGACTACTGTCCTGCTGCATTTTGACGAAGGTGCAGTTTTATAAAAACTTTGAAAGTTGTTTTCTCTTGAAGTGTGTTTTGTGAACTTAGTGTTGCTTGTGAAAAGCATAGCGTGGCAGTGACAGGCCCGATCTTAATGCTGTTTTTTTTTATTCCTTGAAACATTGTTGACAGGATGGCATTATTGATTACCTTGCTTACGATCTAGCTTTCTTGTGTGTGACAATTAGTGCATGAGAAGCTCTGATGCAATACATGAAGCTGATAGAGATGTTGTTTGTAAAAAAAAAAACTAAAAGGAATAGGCAATTTTTGATAATGCCATCCTGTGTAGTGTTCTTTTGAGTAAAGATCATGACCACTTTTACGTTCCTGGAATGTTTTGTTACAATGCTAGGCTTTTCACCAGCAGACTATGTCATTAGATAATGTAACGTAGTGTAACATGACAACTACTTGGGATATTGCAATGAAACTTCACATATCGCTATTCGAGACAAGCTTCAGTATGCCTGCCAAATTTCATTACTCTTCGTCAACAAACAAAAAGTTTTTTAGGGGCGAAGCTCCTTAAGACCTCACGATGTCCACAGTCTCCCGTCTGTCCGTAACACCATGTAACCTTCAACATATAAGCAACAGAGGGCGTTGGTGGTAACCGTTTTGCATGTAACCTTCAACTTATAAGCAACAGAGGGCGCTGTGGTTAATTCTAGACGTGATGGCGCTGTTGTCAACGCTAAACATATATAACCAAGTTCCATACCACACATTCTCTTATCTCATATGCACGAAGACGAACGCAGGAAAGCGCGACGTGCTGAGTATAAGCGTCGCCGTCGACGGGAAGCTACCGCGGAGACAAAAGAGAAGGAAGCAGATGCAAAGCGGTGACGGCGACAACAAAGTTCTACACCACAGACTAGGGCTAAGGAAGCAAAGGCTAAGCCGAGAAAAACGCCAAGCTGACGCGCAGTTGAGACAATTGAAGCGGATGCAAGGTGGCAATACCGACAAGAAAATTCTACACCAGAGACGATAGCTAATGAAGCTGTGATTATGAAGTCAAAACGTAACCCCGAACTCGGAACCTCATATCAGCTATAAAGAAGAATCACCGCTATATCACAATCGATCTCAGCACTGTCTCATTGTATAAAAAAATATATAAGTATCCCAACCACAATCAGTCTCAGTACTATCTCAACTTTAATCACAATAATAACCTCCCAAAGCTTCGCCCCATAATTATCTTCAAGCAGCTTGAGATGCAGTGATTTTTTTTGGTCGCCACCGTCTCCCCTTAAACACACATATTTTGCATTTCGAATTATGGATATATTGAGCTATTTTGCGATTTTCTTCGAGTTTGATATATCCGGGATTGACTGTAATAGGGTGGGGAGCACTGCGATGAACCTTGGACCCCCCACCCTCTGAAGGAGAAACCTGTGCACGCCTTTGCTCAACAGCATGACGCCGTTATTTTTGCATCATTGAGTGATAGGGAGTGTACCTAAGATTATTGGCGTCACGAGATTTGCAATGAATCAAAATATTTCTAGCTTTTCACGAAAGCCCCAAAATGATTATTCATGCCCTTAAGTATCAATGCAACTTGCTTCTCCAGTGTACTCTGCAATGTGAAGTTAGCTGCTCTGGAGTGCTCAGAGATTTAAAGTTAACTGCTCCAAAGTGCTCCAAAAGAAAAATTTTGGTGCTCTAATATGCTCCAAAACAAACATTTCCTGCCCCCTAGGTGCTCTAAAATGAGAATTTTCCTGCTTCAAAAATTGCTTCAAATCGAAGACCTCGGTAGCGTCACTGCCGGAGGGAGTGGCAATGCTGCGCGAGTTGTGACATCACATGGTCTGTTGTATCTTTGTGTAGCCTGCGAACAGTGTTGAGTGTTGTGCTGTCAGAATCACTATATTACTCCAACATAATGTAGATGGGGATATTCTTATGTGGCTACACTACATAAAGGTCCACTCCAAGTGCACACTGAAATATTCATCATTAGCTGTTAGCATTGATTACAGGAGAGTTAAGCCCCAAAAGGAAAGCCACGAATAGCTGTGTATGTCTGACTTAATAGGCCACGACTGTACATGTGCTCTACATGTTTTTCTTCCTTGCTTGAGGCTTTGAAATCACTGTGTATTACAGAGAACATACTTGTATGAAATGGCCTAAAAAAAGTTTTGAACACTGGTTGTTTCTTTGCAGTCCCTGTTTGGCCAGCCAGCAGGCACAACACTCTTTGGGAGCACAACTGCTACAACACAGCCTTCCACAGGATTCGGCACAGGTTTTGGCACTACGTTTGGTGCTACAACGCAGGTAGAAACATTTCTTTGTTATCATAGTGTGAATAGTGCAACTTTACACATACTAAAGAAAGAAAAGAACAATATACCAGTCGCTATGTTGTTCCTTCCTCCTAAGCCTCGCTGTTTTGGCTATGAACCCATATTAGCTTGTATTTTATTTTTCTGTCCTCCAGGATCATTTGATCATGTATACGGCATCTACTGATATAATTGTCTTACCTGCGTAATGTTCGTACTTCTAAATTTTGTTGTCGAAATTCCATCTTTTTTTCCCGGCATGTTGGTCACATCACGTGTCCCAGCCCCTAGGATGTTTTCAGGTTCCAGTGAGTGGAAGAATGACCTCCGAGATTTGTATTGAAAATGGTACCCATAACATACTCCATTTACTCGCGTAATGAACCCACTTGATAATGAACCCACCACTACCCTGGTCCTAGAAAAAAAAAGTACTGTGTTCATTTTATTTCAGGTGTGCTACCCAGTGCCGTTGACGATCGAAACAATACTAAACCAAGCCAGTATATCACAAAATAACGATGCAATAAAAGTTGAAGCATAGTTTCGCAATTCGCAACTATGCTAAACAGTTGCGAGCAGCAGGAACGTGGACAGCGTCAATTAAAATTTCAAGGTCGCGCCTTTCACGGCGAAGTGCCATCTGTCGAAACCAAGGGTAACCTTTTGCCTTATAGCGCCACGCTAGCACAGCAGCCTGAGAATAATGTATATAGTACACATTATAAAAAAATGGGCATACTTTTCATTACCTAACTAACCTGCACATTATTTTAAAAAATATTGAAACAAGGCCTGTGCTAATGCCAGTCATTTTATTTTCATTAGAAGAAGTGGAAACAACGGTGAGCAGGAGCAGGAATTTGGCTTTCGGCAAATGCAAGTAACAGGCTGTAAAATATGTTACAACTTAAAATTTGCTATACATAGAGTATTTATGTAGGTATAGCAAGCTTTGAACTTTAAAAAATGGATCGATGTGAGGGTAAAATCCTCATTTAACCTTGAAGTGGGGCTTTGCGGCAGTGCAGAGTTTTTCGGCAGTGCAGAGTTTTTCTGTATAGTTGAACCTGCCTATAACGAACCGCTTTATAATGGATTCCTCGATATAACGAATGTTTTTGGATTCCCTGCCATTACACCATAGAAGCACGTATACTTGCGACCTCTGTGTAACAAAGTAACAGTTAGAGACAACCTTGATATTATGAATTTCTGCCATGGACAATCTAGAAATTTTGCCCCGGATTTTGTCATTTTGGCACGAGCATGCATCTTCCACAGTTGCTCCGCTGTCGATGAAGCACGAATCGGCGGCGGCGTTCTCGTGGCCCCAGGGACTTCCAGGACGAGAGCGAGTGCTCGTTATTGGGAGCGAGTGTGCGCGAGGCGGGCAGGCGGGCCTGCGCCCCACAAGCCAGCATTCTTCGCAGATGTGCCCTCTTCCTCCGGACCAAAAGAAAAAATACTTTTGCATTGGCACTGTCACCACAGCAGAATACCTCACGCTTTGAGTTAGCGTCACATGTGCGGGTCCGCACTAGATAAAGAGGGCGTTTTACCGAATAGTTTTGAATAATTTTATGCGTTGTCTATGTCATTCGCTCTTCATTTTTTACCCCGTATGCCTGCATGGTGTGGCCCCTGAATACATTCAGCTTGCTTTCACTACCGAGAAGATGTTAGATTAGGCGCTGATGGAATCTCTGAGATTGTGGCGACAATGATAAATCTTCAGAGGTTGACTCGTCGTGCGTTTGAGCCGCAAGTTCGAGGGACCGTAGTCTTCGCGATAAGCCGATTAGCTGGTGCAACAACACGACAGCGCGTTGAGTGCAACGAAATGAATGCGAGAGCAACAAATTGTCATGCTACACGATGTAAGGCTGGCAGCCAACTCTTTTGGATCCAAATTTGGGGAACTCCTACAAAACGCTGGTGTAAGCAATTATGGCTGCTCCAGGAAGAAGAGGCTAGAGTGCTCATGAGCTCCTCAACTTAATATGCATTGCAATTAAAAAAAAAATAAACAAGGCAACGAACACAAACTGTACCCAGAAGAACTACAAACATTTGCCTGTTCACTCATAAATACAGTCAACTGATGATACTTTGTCAACTACCGAACTATGGTGAACTGCCAAGCTAATGGGAAAACTAGTTCTTTTTGTTATGTCATTTTGTTTCTTCAGAGTAGGCAGGGAACATCAAAATTGCTGATTGAAGTGAATAGCTCTTGCATAGCTGCCATAACTGTTTGATTTAGTTGGCAGTTTGACGTGACATAATGTTATATAATTCATGTAATGAAATGATTGACATGTTAACAATTGCATGGCTTGCTTGCCATATTATAAAATATGGATGGCATAAGGAGGAAAAGGTTGATGCCGTCATTCCTCCTTTACCTATGTCATTCATCACACAAGTGGCATAATATAGCGTACATGCGATGACACACCACAAAACACTGTAGGCCAAATGTCTGCAAGTGAAGTCTAACCTACCATAATGGGTATGTATGCATGAGATCAAGAAAATTAAGTCCAGCCAAAAATGAATGAACAGAGGAAAATGAGAAGACAGAAAAATAGCTAGACTACCAACACAGTTGGTAGTTTAGCTGCTTTCCTGTCTTTTTGGTTTTCTGCAGTACGCTCATTTTTGGCTGGATATATCTTTCTTGATTCGATGCACCAACTAGCCCAATAACAAGTGTTATTAGAACATGTATGAGACATGCGCTGATTTAAGACATCTCGTGGCCTGAGGGGCATGACATGTTATGAACAGCACAACTTGTGTTATTTATGGCATACTGTGAATGACATATATGAAAGGAGATCGTTGCGATCATTTTTGTAGGATTCCTCAGGATGCGTGAACTCGTATAAGTGCCAAAAAATTGCAGCATATCCACAGAGTGAATCTTGAAAAGTGGGGCGAAGCAGGCGCATAGCCAAAAATTTAGAGGGGGGGGGCACCACCTTGATATTGGGAGGGGCACCCCGTTACAAGGGTCATTTTTTGCTCTCTATGCCATGTCAAAAAAATTTCGGGCAGGGGGGGGGGGGGGGGGCACGTGCTTGGTGTGGCATCCCCTGGCTAGGCCCCTGGGGCAAAGCGTCCATCCGTCCGTACATCTGTCTGTCCGTGCATCTGTTCATGCATCCGTCCGTGCATTCGTCCATTCATCTGTGCGCCTGTTCGTGCTTCTATTTATACTTCCGTCTGTTTGTACGTCCATCTGTGTGTCTATCCGCCTGTCTGTCCGTCCATCTGTTCGTCTGTCCGCTCCTATCACACTAGAGCACACATCAGATGAACGGACGCCTCGCCCCACACATCATCATTGACTCTGTGGATATGCTGGCTACTCAGGACAGAAGGACGACTGACCAGATGAATGCTGTAAGGAGCTTCACTCCTAATATGTCACATGCATGCAATGGCATGTATCATGTTTACTCATATAAAACCAGCACAGCTTGGACAGCTAGCAAGTGTTAAGAATGGTGTCTGCTGCATAGTGGTGGACTCTAGATAGTGTCGACCTCCTGGGTTCTTTTTCATTAAGGGCACTGACATGGCCCAGTAGACAGGCTTCTAGTGTTTACTAGAAGCCTTCATCAAAATGCCACTGCCATGGGTGCGATCAAACGTTTGCCCTTTTTTTTTCACCTGTCTGAGAATTCAGTCATCTACATAAATGGATGTCCGTGCTTTTGCCATTCTTGTAGTAACCTAAGTGGTTTTGTTGAAACAGGTTTTCTCAGTGCCTTACTGTCGGACTGAGCTGTGGTTTTCTTAACCCTGCTTTTTTCAGCCGAGTGCTTTCGGTGTAAGGCCAACATTTGGTGCAGCCACCACATCTGCACCTTCCGGCTTTGGATTTGGCAGCACAGCCAACACAGGGACATCATTGTTTGGGGCCAAGCAGCCATCGCAGTTTTCCTTTGGGGCAACCACGCCAGCGTTTGGGGCAACCAACACAACAGGCTTTGGTATGTTATAAGTACTTCATCAGTGTACATTTTAGTGCATGCAAAGAAAGGACAGAAATGTGCAAGGAAATGAGAATTGTCTAACGAGCTTTGATTGCTAGGAGATGAAAAGCATAGAACAACTTAGTGTGCACTGCCTTTCCTGAAGCTTTGAAGAAGTAGTGACATCAGATTTCAAACTCTAGATGTGGTGTTGATTGAATTGCTTGATATGCATGTTTTTTTTTTTTTAGTGTAGTATGAATGGCACCTATTACATAGAATTTCTATTTCAAGTGCCAAGAGCTAAATGCTTAAAGGCCAACTCCGGCAATTTTTCGAGGTCAATGGATCTCAGTGAAATTCGCTGGGTACGTTCCTTTGCACATTACTATCATTTATGCCAAATTACGGGCTTGAGAAATGCTCCGATTCTTTGCAAAGGAATCTTAAATATTGCCTCAAAATGGCTCACCAGGCTTGCCAGAATTATTGGCAACACTGTCTGTGTGTCATCATGTTTGGCAAGTCAGCGGAAGTGACGCTGCCGATGGCATCGCAAACTTTGGCGGCTGCAGTGTTTACTGTGCTCACCACAAGGCGACGGCGGTGGTGTTCGGGGCTGTTTTTCCTTCCTCCTTGGTGTTTTGTTGGTGCTTTGCTGGTTTGGTGTGCCATTTTCTGTTCCCTGTGGATGGGTGCTCGATGGGTGGTAGTTGGTGTTGCGTTGTGGGCTGCACAAACCACTCACACAAGACACAGTGTGTTTGCTATCACGGCTTTCCACGTGACATTGCCCTCCATAAGAAGTGGATCAATGCCATCAGGTAGGACAACTGGTTAGTGCGCAAAACGGCATGCGTGTGTTCCGATCATTTCTCGCCGTAGTCTTACCAGGAAAGCATTCACTTTAGTAATCCCAGCACAATAAGAATTAGTCGGCAACAAACATTCTCGTCAGTGCGCGTTGGTCTGCAGTCGCCACAAGTTCACCTGTGTAGCAATTTCATGCTTCTTCATGTAATAACAAAACAGTGACTAATCATCCACAGGTAAGACTTATCCTTCGTCGTGATATTGCAACACCAGTTGCTCGGCTTCCTCAGCGACTGACCGTTGTGACGGTGGATGGAACATAAAAATTACAGCATATCCACGGAGTGAGTGATGATGAGTGTGGTGAAGCGTCCATTCCGTTCGTTCTTTCTTCCATTCACCCATGCATCTGTCCATGCGTTCGTTTGTCCATCCTTCCGTCCGTCCGTCCGTCCATCTAGTAAACACTCCAAGTGCCGCCATCTGGCATATTTTTATCATATATTCATCATATACAAGTACCGCCATCCAGCGGACAATGCAAGAACTAAATCAGAGGTGGCTACCTACTACTACTACTACTACTACTACTACTACTACTACTACTACTACTACTACTACTACTGCTACTACTACTACTACTACTACTACTACTACTACTACTACTACTACTACTACTACTACTACTACTACTACTACTACTACTACTACTACTACTACTACTACTACTACTACTACTTCTTGTATGTACATCAGGGATGAGACTCATGGTTTAGAAACTTGACCCTCATCATTCATCTTTTACTATATAGAAGCAAATAATTTGAATACCAACAGAAAAATTGTTGACTGCGTGCACTACTTTGCTGTCACGTGACAGGGCAGCTCGTATAATTTAAGTTTCTGCCACCAGTTGGCGCCATAGGTTATTATCGCGATTTTAAATAAAAATATAACTGCACTGTGTCTTCAGTTCCCCATTTGTTTAGTTTTTGAGTTTTTTCAATTTTTGTGCTGAAACTGGATATAACGAAAACCTGTTTGTAATGAGCTTTTTCAAGAATTTGCCACTTTCATTGTATCCACTGTTGATTGTACTGTAAAATGTAAAATATTTTGCAACTACTAATGCATGGTACAGTTGACTCTCATCAATTCGAACTCAAAGGGGCTTCTGAATTTGTTCAAAATATTAAGAAGTTTGAATTATCAGAAGTTCTAAGATAAATGACTATAGTTAAGGTGACGCCACACATTATGATTAGGCATTTATTTTATCACATTCAAAAAATTTTCAAGTCTTCCTAACTGCAAGCAGTAACAGAAAGCAGAGGTGTAAAGCCCACAAGTTTATTGGCAATTTACTGTGGATCAGACCTTCTAAAGCAATCATGAATTGCCAATGGCTTCATTGCGCTAGGTATGTCCCTTCAGCCCAAAGCTCTCTATACCAGTTGACAAGCATCACACCTTACCATGGCTATGCGTGTGTTTCATTTCAAACATTCGTTTACTTGTAAAACCTTTTTGCTTGAAGTTCTCAGTTGCTTATTTTTCATATTTAGACTGTTATGATTATATAAGCGCACAACTTTTTAAATAGTAGTGGGAAAGTAGCAGATATTTCCTGGCATGAACCTGCAAAAAGTATGAATTAACTGAATGATGTAGTTTGAATTAAGGGGCTTTTATATACATTGAAAGAATAGAGGGTCACCCCAAAATAGAATTTTATTTGAATTAATCGAAAGTGTGAATTATAAAAGTTTGAATTATCGCGAGTCTACTGTAATTTCACGAGGCTTTATTTACAACAGGAACATCGACTGGCAGCCTCTTTGGTGCAACCAAGACGACGCCATCCTTTGGCACTGGCAGCACTCCTGCGTTTGGCAGCACGGGCTTTGGCAGCACTCCTGCATTTGGCACAGCTGGAACAAATACTACAGGGGGACTGTTTGGTTCAACCACTGCGGCAAAGCCCACAGGCTTCAACTTTGGAGGCACGACTACTACTACACCTTTCACAGGTGCGTTAAAGTCACCAGCGATGCTTCATACCACAGAAGCGGCATAATGGAATAGACAGGTCTTTTTTCTTCCAAAAGAAAACAAATTTGACTAGTTGGTTCATGATTATATATGCATGAAATGGGCCAAATGCAGTGTTCTTTGTTCTTTTGTGTTGTCTCATTTTGTGTTGTAGTTTCTTGCATATATTTCACCAAGCTGTGTTCTATGTTGAATTTGTAAGCTGTCTTTTCTGCTGGAATAACAAAGCAAGTCATTCCAAGTGCATATACTTCTATCAGAGTTGATCCACTGATTTCAGTTTTCTTTAGACACTGACATGCCAATACAGTCAACTGCCGATTTGTCCCGCAAAATCATACGAAAAGTCAGTCGTAAAAAATGAGCTCATGCTTTTTATTTCACCCAAGTACAGATCGCCACTCATTCACTTCTGGATGTCCTGGCTGCTGACAGCTTCATTTTCGCCAGAATAGGTTTTGCCAACGATTTTGTAGCACTGCTTAAATCGGTGAAGTCACCCTGCTGTTGTCGGCGAAGTCATTGCACCGAGTGCAGCAGCAAATCATTTGGCTTTGGCAATCAGCATCGGGTCATCCACCTGAATGTTCTTCGCGTGAACTTCTAAAAACCAGGCATAGAGTGCGTTTTCTACATTCTCGTGGGCAGAAGCGCGCACATGACAGGCTCCCGACGTTTGCTGCTCCACCGCCTTTGCCTTGATTATCTGCCTTGTTTTTCAACAAGGTACTCGGAGTGCTCCGTGGTATCTTGAAGTCGTCTGCGACGGTCTAACATTGCTCACCCGCCTCAACATGCTGAATAGCCTTCAATTTCGTCGTTAAGTCGAGGGTCCTTGCGCTTCTTGACACTGGCGATAGCTACACGAGAAGTCCACAACTCAAGTGTTCGCAGCGGCTTTGCACACCACGCAGGTAAAAAAAGAAATGCTGCACATGCGGTGTTACGTAGGCGCCATCGACAGCGGAAGCAACAAAGTGTTTGCGAAGTGATTTTACCTACGAGGGCAACAGCAAAAAGCGAGAGTTTTGGTTCGACGAGGAAAACTAGCAAAACGGCAAAAAATAAAAAATAAAAGAAAAGGCGAAAGAAGGGGAGTGTCGGCTCCTGCTCTCCAAACCGACGGGTACACGGAGGAGAAAGCGTTAAAGAGAGAAAGAGAAATGGAAAGTTAGAGATTGTGCAGTCTGAGCCCTCTCACCTTTACCTTTTTTCGAATGTTCGGGTTTTGGCGGAGGCGTGGTGTCGCGCGAGGTCGCCGGGCGCTGCTTGCGCCAAAACGCGCCTTCTAACTCGTGCGCAAAGCCGCGCTGCTGCGGGGTATACGGGGAAAGGGGGGGGGGTGTGAGTACTGAAGCGCATCCTTAGCTTGCGCGGCGTTCGATATATCCGAAGGTGGGTAAAAGTGCCGTTGGATATAAACGTGGGAATTTCTATACTTTTACAAAGGAATTTCAAGGGGATAACTTGCAAGTTTGAAATACCCGAAAGTTCGTTATATGTGGGTTCAATATAACTGTGTTCGATTATACCACTTCTTTTTATGCAGCAAAATCAGTTGGTTTGTATCGTCCCTATAAGAAAATAACACGGGGTTGGGATTAGACTTAAAAACTTTCATTTCAGTAAAAGAAAAATTACATAGATTAAGCTTTCTGTGAACTAACTTCTTATGGTTTTCAACCATGTATGTTTTTCTGCTGATTTTTCTTGTACAACCTGAGGGCACTACAAACATCTCGACCTTCTTGAAGTGGAATAATCACCAAGTTCGGAGTTTTATTTTAGACCCTATGCGTAACACACAGCAAAAAAAAAAAAAAAGTTGGGAATAGTATGCTCTATGGAGAGTTTGTAGTATATTCTACACATGCATTTTATCAATAATCATCTTCCCTAGAAAAATTTCTGGAAAAACATTACATCTACTAAATTTTACCTGTGCGCCAAGAAGTGAAAGTAACTGTTCTGTAATAAAGGCACAATGCTAAAAAAAAAATGCAAAAAAGCGGGTGTTGAAAGAATGCGTAAAACACTCGATTTGTGAAGAATTTTCTTTTCGTACCTCGTTTCCTACCGTTTCGTAAATTTCAGATCTTGGTTAGTTGCGCAAAAATTTTTTTCCACGTGATACATTTTGGGAGGAAACATTTTGGGAGAATGCCTTACAGCTAGTGCCTATACATGTGCAATTTTCTCTCACCTATCGTATAGAATTCGATTTTTGGCGAGCACCTCGGCTGGGACAGCTGGTGTGGAATTACCCTATTACCAGTGCTCTTGTTAAGAGGTTGAAATGTAGAGGTACAATGACCTTTAAAAACTGTGGTTGCAATAATAGTGTTTGTTGTGTGATATTTGTGCATGTATTCAAATTTCAGGAGTGTGCCTTACGTTTTTAAATTTTTTTTATTTTAGGCTTCGGCCAAACAGGTGTTGGGACTGGTTCTACTTTTGGCAGTACTGTACCAACCATGGGAAGGCAAGTCAGCATTTTCCCGATTACAAAATGCACATGTTATTCACGTTGAAGTCCTGTAGACTTCTACTACATATTTACTTAAATCTAGGCCGTTTTTTTTTTCCTTTTTAAACGAGGTGCGAAAGTGGGTTTGAAAAAGGGTCAGCTTTGGTTCAAGTACAGTAATACAGTCGAGCCCGCTTATAACGAACCTGAGCGTGACGCGGCATCCGTTCACTATATTCTGAAGTTCGTAGTAAATGAAACACAGCTTTTAAAAGAAGTTGCGAGTGAAAACACAAACTTTTTTTGCCCCAAAAAGTCCGTGATGCATGTGTTCCGAAGAACAAAAGCGATAAGGGCGGTCTCGAGTACGTTTAAAACGGTAGGGTGCTCGTTCGCCGAGGCCCGTGGCATAAGCTGCATGATGCACTGGCTCCAAAGTTTCGTCGTTCTCGCAATTCAATTCCTCCAAATCACTCTCGCCACGTACTTCACTCACAATGCCCAATCTGTGTACGTTCCGCAGAGTCGGCATCATCATCTGCCGTAATTAAACCATCGCAACAGATGTCCCACCCGCTCTCCCAGGTCGGAGTCGACGACGCGCGCCCACAAATCGCCGCCGCAGTTCGGAAGCTTCAGGCTCGGCATCGGGCCCGACGTCGACGAAGTCGGCCTCGCGAAAACAGTTTCGCACGCATGTAGCCGTCACCGTCGCCCACAAAATATTCACCATCTCCACAGCTGAATACAGGGATGCCAGAAGCGGCAAGTTAGCTGCCAGGTGGTCAACAGCTATGAGCAAGCACTCCGCAACACGGCACCCAACGCGGGGATTACGCTCACGCCAAGCGGTCACACTTTCGACGTTTTGTTGAGCGGCAGGAAAAAGCGTGCTAGTCCTCCCATCAACCATCATGAACACACGCACACCAAGAGCGAGCAAGTCGGGCACACGCGACACGCATGCCAGAACGCGTGGGACAGCTCTGGGCCCGTATCCAGTCAGAAAACGAAACTAATTCGAGCCAGCGTGGCAAGCGTCGCGGAGCGGTGGAGACGGGCAAAGGGGTTGTTATCAAAAGAGGAGAGCAGACTTGCGAGAGAAGGGCAAGGAGTTGCGATAAAGAGAGGGGAGGATGCGGCGGGAGCTACCTTGAAAACCAAAACACACGGGAAAGAGGCAGGTTGGGTAGCTTGCTTGAAAGGTCCGCAAAACTCGCACGTAGAAAAACTTGGAAAGAGTGCATGGCCGCCTGAATCGGTGCGCGCGGCGGTGTTCGAAGAATCGGCGACCATGGTCAAAAAATTATTTCGTTGCGCCGACGGGTTTGCATGGCCTCACTAACTTCGATATTTCGCGATTCGTTCCGTGCAAATTAACAGCCGTTCTCGCGCTTCCGCACGCGCGCGGAAGGCATGCCGAGTTGAGTACGAAGTGGGCGAGAACAAGTTCTAAACACGAAACGAATCGCAAATTATCAGAGTCGATGGAATAGCGTACGTGCGTGCACTAGACGCAGACCTGATACAGTCGGTGGCCGGCGATGTTGGCAAATGGTCTGGTCACTCCAGGCCGGCGACTCCAGCGACAGTACCAGAGATTAAAAATAGGGTAGATGGCCGACTGGTCTTCGAAAGATCGGTGGCAGTGTGAAAACACGGGCCTCGTCTGGCGATGCGGGGTGCTCAGAGTTGCAGGGGGACAAAGGATGGAGGGGTATGTAACAAAAAGCGGTCGGGGAGAGCGGCAACTAGAAGGGCGCGGAGGCAGGGTCGGCGTTTAACAATAAGAATGTATGGGCACCTCGCCGATGCCTGGTCAGTGGTCGAAATCGGTTCCCGGGAAGTCGGCAGACCGCTGACTCCGTTCGCTGTAACCGATCAGCGGCGCTCGGAGACACTTGTAAGTGCGATTTTGTGCCATTGAACCAATGCATATCTTCACGGTCACGCGAATATTGTTCGTTTTAAGCTAGAGTTCGTTTTAAGGGGGGACATGGGTCTTTAAAATTTTTTTTCTGTTTTTGGCTCAATCTTGACCAAACCTCACAATCTTGGACAGTTTTTCATGCTGATTTCAAATATGTAATTGTTTCTGAAATAGCTTCAGTGGATAAAAAGATATTAACATCTGTAATTTAATTAATTATGCACTTCATTGGGGGCTTTTTGGCAACTTAATCAAGCCAGATCCAAAAAATAAATGCATAGCCCCAATGCTGAGGGCTTTCTGTATGGGGTGATGCTATTTTTATTAATTTTTAGGCATTATATAGATAAGAAAACAGACCAGCACTTACAATGGATATTCTGTTCAATTTTCGCTTGTTACTATCCATAATTGTAATTAACAGTATGCTTCTAGAGTAATCAAAATAGCATCACCCCATAGGTAATGTTATTACAAATAAAATGATACCAAGTTTGTCATTCTCAATCAACAGTAACATAAGAAAAACCCCTAAGGTTTAGTGTGGTGCACAAAAACATCGAACTGAGAAAAACACATTTAAAGTTTCTAATAACTGTAACTTTTGCTAAAGTGAAGCTAGAGCAATAAAAATGGCACCGTTGTATAGCTCTACATTATGTGAGTATGGCTGTACGAAATGTGTCAATGCACCTTCCCAAAATATTTGCCACAGCTCATTTTAAAGACTGTGTACTGGCCGTTGAATCAGTGTAAGGAACCCAGTCTACAACTTTGTGGCTGTTCTAGTGCACTGAAAACCAAAGGAAGACACATGTTATATATAAAAACATCGCCCTTTTATACATAAAACACTATTTCAAGTAAAACACACATTTTTGTCCCAGACATCCTTACAATTCTACAGCATGCCAGGGCTGTATGCAGTGTCTCTTGCAGGCTTATGTCACTTTGGAAGTGTTGCCTTTGTTGAACTGCTCTGCAGGTGCTCCCTCCGCGATTTGTGAAGCCTGGTTTTATCCTTTTCAAGGCTACGACGCATGAAGAGATTTCCTGCACTGTAGCCTAGCTTCTCAGCAATTGCTTCATTGCTCTTCGTGGCCCCCTGATTAAAGCGGCTGATGGCTTCAGCCACTGCTCTTTCTACGCTGTGCAGTGAGGCATGGGTGGTCTTGGGGACTTGTTGCCAAATTGTAGCGTGTGAGCTCTCACTATGATTCTGGGTGATCCCATCACTGCACCTTTCCAACAATGCTTTGTCGCTAAGCCTCATAAACACAGGCTCTAGTGCCTCACAGACGAAATCGGGCAGGCTGTTCTTGTGCGGTGGAGGCACCTCACTATTGGCTATGGCCCTGTTGAACTTGCACCATGAATCTGTTCCCTCAGGGCAGAGGTCATGTTTGGGTGCCTCGTCTGTTGATGACATGTGCCTTAGTGTGGCCAGCACAGCCTTTTTCATGCCTGGCACATCACTCTTGTGGCTCCTCAAGGCATAGCCATAGTAAGAGGTAATTTTCTTTATTTTGTCTTGAGTGAGCCTACCTTTTCAGCCAAGTGACACACCTTGAGCTTTTTTCTTTTCGATGAGCGTTCGTAAGGCAGCCCCCATTTGTTTATGCACATGGTTGATGCAGTCTTTTTTTTCGACTTTTATGTATCCGTAAACTTCATCTTCAGTGAGGGCATGAAAGGTTCGGCTATCACCATCTGAAAGCATTGTTGTGTACGAAGCTTATGCTTTTCTAAGGAGTGTCAGAAGAGGCGTAGGGCTGCTTCTACTTCCATCTGGCCAGCCTTGCAGTCAACATTTTTCTGGCACACAGGGGCGTGCTGGACGAGCCAAGCAGCGTGTCCCTCCTCATCTTCCTTTGGTCCAGTGGCGCAGCCCAGGCAAAAGTTTGAAAGTACAACGTGATCAATAACTAAACCAGTGTACATTTCAATTATACAACCAACACAGATATGGGAGCTGTGTCCACGGGTAAGCCACGTGCCATCATAAATGACGTCGATGTTGCCCGGTGGATTGCCAAACTCTGCATAGAGTTCTTTGACGCGGGCAACGCTAGTGGATTTGCATTCGGCAGCAGTCGCACCGCAGGCTTCCCGCATGATTTTCATGTGGCTTTGATTCGTTTTCTGGTGAAGCCCTCGATGCGAAATATTCATCGCGGCAAAAAAGTCCGTCAGAGCTGTTGCCCCTTTGCCGATAGTATTCATCGCTTTCATGGCACGCAAATTCACTTCAAAAGGCCTCACTTTGGCCTGGCTATTTTCGGCAACTCTCGGTGAAGAAAACCGTTCTTCGCGAAAGTCGCAACTGCTGCATGCGAGCACGAGTTTTGAGCACAGCCCATAGTCTCTTTTTCCCTTGGAGAAAGTCATACTTTTTGAGCCGCACTCGGGGCAGGGGAGAAGTCCAAATCGCTTCTATATCAACAATGGCAAATTGCATGCCGTTTTCTTTGTCGTCGCCCTCCAGCTGAACGTCCAGCAGCTCAAACTTTCGTGCTGTCGCGCACTGCGATGCCAGGGACTCTTTTAAATTCGCCGCACGTATGGAGCACTCGGTGAACTCGTCCGCAGAGTAAAACGTCGTGTCGACACGACCTTGAATGGTTCCAGTAGTGCCGGATGACGATCCGCTGACGTGATGATCCGACGAAGTGCTGCAGCTGGGCCGAATAGAGTGCACCGCTTCGGCAGGCATTCGCGCCAGCGAATCGTCGTCTGAATGTGCTGCCTCGGCAATAACAGGCACTTGCGCCAGCGAGTCGTCGTCTGAATGTGCTGCCTCCGCAATAACAGGCATTTCCGACAGCCCGTTGTCATCAGAATGCGCTGCCTCGGCCATCTCCGACGTTCTCGGCGGCGCAGGCCGCTCCCTTCTGCCGCGCATTCCACGCTCGCTTTCGTTTCCTGCCGAAAGCTTGACGAGTGTTCTTCTTCAGGCGAGCTTCCCAAGCCATGCCGGCGAAATGCAGAAAGACGTATACGTCGGCGACGTCGGTACACGAGCGGGTAGCAGACGAGATAACACGCACGAGAGCAGGCGCCAAGGGAGCAAAACCAAACAAACAAA